GCCCCCTGGCCCCAGACCCCTTACCATGAGATGAGGCTCCTAGCCTCCCCACGGAGCCAAACACTGCCCCGCGGGAGCGCACAGCCCCGGCCTCCAAAGCACTGCGTGCGCAGCGGCATGGCTCCAGGGGAGGGGGCCCGGGAGCGCAGACCCTGCGGCTTGCCGCGCTGGGAGAGGGGGGCCATTTGCCCACCCCTGCATTAGGGTGTGTCTGGGCACACCCGGCACACCCCATGCGCACGCCTATGCTCCTGAGTGTGGTATTCTGTCCCATCTAGTGGCACCGAGACCGCTTAGAGCGAGAGTATGAGTCTGCTCTACAGCCTTAGCTAACAGGCAGTTGGCTTTTAGCTCATGTGGTAGAGGCTCATGCACTAAGCTCCAGAGGTCTCAGATTCGATCCCAGCTGCTGACAATTGGAGTCTGTCGGTGTTACAGAAACATGGGCAGTTTAAAATGGACTGCATGCTTGGGTGATGATGCTTTCATTTTTTCTGCCCAGTATGGGGTTTCTCCCCTTGCACTAGAGACCACTGATACAGAGCCTGTGACAGCCCCAAGGAGCTCAGTTAAAACTCAAATCTTGCAGCATTTCTTTTAGATTTTTATTGAGATCTGAGGATTTTTTATGCCAGGTGATTCAGCTACTTCCAAGATCCCTCTTGACTATCTTTGTACTTATGGTAGTTTTAGAATAGGGAAATACACCCCCACCAGAAGGGGAAACAGCTTCTCTAATGCAAATTTCTTTTACAGGATTTCCATTTAAGTCATTTAAAGAGTGCCTGGAATTCATACAACGCAATGAAAAAAACTGCATCCTTATGTCTCAGAACAGCATCATGTTGGGGCTGTATTCATCCCTGGCCATTTGGTAATATACAAAGTCTCCTCAAAATTGCTTTGCTGTGTTACTGGTTTAATCTTTATTTTGCCATATGGTGGGTCGGAACTCAGAAACTTAGGGCCGGATTCTGCCATCCGTACTCACGTTGAATAGCTCCTTAGTCCATGAGTCCTGTTGAAATCAGTGTGACTACTTGGCTGATCAGGTACTTCTCAATATGAGTAAGGGTGGCAGAACTGGGCCAGTTCTACTGGGTATTGATGAGCCTTAAGGCCACCTTAGCTGTGGGGGTGGCTGAAAAGTTTTTGTCATCCTGGCACATACCTCGGATGGATAATTTTAGGTCTAGTAAAAACATCTTTATTTTGCATTAAATTATTATAATCGACATCATTGTGCCTAGGAGTCCTAGTCATGAACCAGTACCCTGCTGTGCTCGGCGCTGTACGAACACAGAATAACGAGACAGTCACTGCCCCCAAAGTACAATCCAAGTTGGTGGTAATCATATCTCATGCTTTGCTGCATGCATTAGGAAGAATTCCTCTGCTCATTGTATAGCACTGTGCAGGTAGCTAGATGCAGCATGAGTTTTCCATATATAGATCGGTGCCACTGGCTGGTCCAATAGTCCAATCCGCTACAGCAAATCTTATGTGGATCTCTCTCTTGGTGATCTAGGTTTGCCAGACTTCAGCAGTGGGGCAGCTTCAAGGAGCCTTTTGAAAAGGCCAGAAGGTTGCTGAGGAGAACTAGCGCCTCATTCTTTGCTACCAGTGGATTCTGTAGATTCTTGGAGTGTGAGATCCTTATGCTACGGAAACACATTGAGGAAAAGCCTGAATTGGTCTGGGCGACTCGTAATAAGATGCTAAAGGTGAGAGAGAGAGAAGGAGATGTCCACATTATGTGGAAAGACTGTAAAATGCAATAGATCTGCAAATGGAGGCTGGATATCTCCTGATGGCTGCTAGACATGGAGGGCCTGATCCAAAGCTCATGATGTCAGTGGGAGTCTTTCCACAGGTTTCAATGGGCTTTGAATCAGGCCCACTGGGAGCAGCCATCTATCAAGTTTCCCTGCACACCTCTCTTTCAGACACTGGGCATTATGATAGGTCAGGATGAGCAGACTAGGGGAGTCCAGAGTCGTCGTCTAGTGGTGTGTGGGTGGTCTGGTAACTGGGAGGACAATTGGTATTACAGGCAGTCTGGGGCAACGGTTAGAGTTCTTGCAGGGGGGTCTGGAGCCAGGAGATACAATCGAAGGGTTTGGGTTGGCAAGATAAGTAGGTGCAGTCAGGCAAGGCAGAGTCAGGTGAGACAGTACAGCAGCAAGGCAAGGTCAGGCAAAACAGCAGGGCAGCAAGGTGGTCCAGGCAGTAATGGCCTGCTGCTCAGACAGCTTCCTCTTCCTGTTGAGGTCTTTATATAGTCCAGGTGCCTGGTGAGAATGCTGTCAGTCCAGCCAATCAGGGGCCTAGCTGTTGTAGGGCTGTAGGTCTTTAGCACCAAGGCTGTCAGTCAGGGGTAGTGGTTCAACATGCTGCCATGGCGCAGACACTGGGGATACCTTTTAGGGACCCAATGGACTTGGATTCAATACCAGGGTCCTGACACCTGCAACACTACAGCCCTGTGTATCTACTCAGCTCTACTAGCCTTGGTCTCCTCCCTTGAATTGCCTAGTTCCCTGTTCGGGCCCCTGTAATTGTTTTAATGGCTGTTCAGGTGGTGGTTTGGTTTTGAAATCCCTTCAGTGCTGCACTACAGCTCAGCATGAGCAATAACCAATGCAAAGCCTATTACAAGTGGAGGGGAAGGTTGATCATAATTTTGCTTCTTTCCAGTTGATTCATCCAAAAATTGATGGCAAGAATTGCAAAAACTCTTTTTTCCCCATAATACACTACAATGGAGAGGAGGGGAAATCCCCAGACAAAATGAAGTGCCCCCAAAGCATACATAGACGCTTCTATTTTTGGCATGGAACATGGAAACTGGTCAAAAGTGATGTTCTATATTTGTGTGTGTCCAGCTGTGCAAGGGAGGAGGAGAGAAAGCATTGACATTTTTGCATTGTGCAGCTAGGTTTATTTCTACATTATAGAGTTTGTAGGGGAGACAGAGAAACTTGAATTTGATGCAATGAGAGGCAGGAAGCTAGTGGAAGGATTCAGAAAGTGGGGGCAACCCTTGATCAAACAGCAGTATTTCATTATCATAGCCCTTAAACGATATGTTTCCAGGGCCAGTAATTGATGCACATTTGTGGGGTGAGAGAACCATGACAGATTATTCGGACATTGTGAGGATGCAGAAAAAGATGCTATTAAAGCTGTGACAGATGTCCCCTCGTCCCCATCCCACTCACTTTGCAAGAAACATATCTTTAGGATCCTCTCAGAGTGGCCTCTGGACAGGAGGTAGAAGAGAAATCAGCCACACAGAGTGCACAATTCCCAAAGAGGAATTGTCCTGTAGGTCGGATAAGAGACTATTGCAAAGCCAAGTTAGTGAGTGCTGCCTAAGTGCATGATCAAGACGAGTTCATACAGTCTGAATCTTCCTGGTTTTTATCTCACCCCTGCTACTTTCTATCTCTCTGCAGGTTTCCTGTTTCTTTCTAGCTGGCTTTTCTCCTCAGGCATACTGTATTCCTGCAAAGGGATCTCAAAGCTCTGGGATGTCATCCTGACATGAATCTCAATTGTTCTCTTGTTAGGACTTGGACCAGGTTCTCTCTCGATGCTCCACAAGCCCTATCTGTTACCCTAGGGTTTACCACCTGAAAGCCTATATCCTCCTGGTGTTGGGCAATGAAGAACAGAGCCAAATCTACCTATCCCAAGCATTCCAACTCTGTGACATATATGGAAACCTCCTGGAGAAATCCTGGCTGGAGATCAGCAATATAAGTCCCGAGAGCTGGTAATCTGAAAGCTCTTTCCTTTGAGCACCAGATGAGCTGGTCTCTGGGAAGGGATTTAGGATTCCCTAGAAGAAAGTGGAGCTGGCTGCAGGTCAATGGCTGCAATATAGATAAAGTCAAGCGGCAGGGGGGGGGGAAGGGGGGTGTTGTGAAGGCAAATGATGGAAATCCTGGATGGAGCTGGTGGGTACCTGCAGTAGGCTATACCCCCTAGCATCCCCTGGGGAAAAGGATGGGACCTGTTCCTGTGGCAGAGTCCAGTTCTGCTCATAGCCTCTTCCCCCTTGCCCAGGGGCAGGGGGAATTAAAGTAGCCCAAACAAACAGTTTGGGAAGTCAAAGAAAAAGAGAGCAAAAAAGAACAAAAGTATCAGCCCTTCTCCTTTCTGCAAGGGCCTGGGTGGGCAAGGCTTTCTAGCTGTTTCCCCAGTGAGCAACCCCTGCTTCTGGGAGTCAGGGACCGCTGCACTGCAGTCCTGCTCCTTCAGAGTGCTGCCCCAAACTGAGTTGGGATCCTCCTTTTTAAGCCCCCCCGCCCCATACCTAGGCTGGACAAGCCTTACAGCTGCACTGGCTTGAGGCTGGTTGTGCTGGAGGAGCTCTTTAACTCCTTCCTGACAGGGGCGGGGAACTGCCGCACCACTGTGACATACACCCCAAGCCCACCTAACTTCTAACTTCCACTAACATTTGTGGTATATTCTCAGACAGCCTGGGGCTGGCATGACATTTGGGGACAAGGCTTGAGGAGGAGCATGCGCAGCACCTAATCCTTCACCCTGTTGTGTACGTCCACACCCACCCACATCATCAGAACTCTCCTCCAACAGAATGGAACAGAATCTCTCAAGGACTCCATTAACTGTGCTACTGCTTACCCTGCAGTGGCGACTATTTACAAAACCCAACAAATAGGCTCCCAGCTCTTGCCAGGGTTACTCTGCAGTACTCCTTCTCTACGCTACAGGGAAAAGTCGATCTAAGCTACGCAATTTAAGTTACGTGAATAGCGTAACTCAAGTCGATGTAGCTTAGATCTATTTACCACAAAGTCCATACTACGCAATGTCGACAGGAGATGCTCTCCCATCGACTCCCCTTACTTGATCTGGTGGCGTATAGGAGTCAACGGGAGAGCAATCGGTGGTTGATTTAGCAGGTTTTGACCTGCGAAACTGACCACTGATGCATCGATCGCCGTGCATCGATCCCCCGGCAAGTGTAGACAAGCCCACATCTGCCAAGCTGAGGAGTGAGATGCAGCCTGAGATTTCAACCCAAGTGTCTCACTCAGTATTGTGTGAACAGCACTTATCTTGACATCACTGGACGGTTCTCAGAGCTATGGTTTAAGAAGCATAAAATCCCATTCAAAACATTTAACAGGTTTGGGACCAACCAGTACATGACCAACCATTCCAAAATAACATTGCTTCCTGCTGTGTGCCTCCTGGAACTTGTGCTTTGGAGTACATTTTGATGGAAGATCTATAGGAGCATCATTTTTAGGGGCCAGTGGTTTTCTCTCTAGCGCAAACTTTATATTTGCAAAATTAAATCTCCTTTTCATGTTGTCCATGTGTCTGTCTACACCTGCCTGCCCATCATGGCTTGGTCAAACTTGTCATGGTTAACATAGCATGTTCTCCCTAGCATGGCCGTAACATGCTCCACATCTACACACACACTTGGGTTTCTATTATGCTATTGACTGTGCTGACCCACCTGTGCTTTTTGAGGTCCACCTTGATCGAGCCTCAGTCATTTTAAGTTTCATGGTGAGCAGAGGGCAATGTTGTGTTAGCCCAAAGAGTGCAAATGGACCTCTCAGTGCAATCCCATACTGCAGAGGTGGCTTGTCTGGACACTTGTCTGCATTCCACTGTCCAGGAGTCAGCCTGGCCAGGACCCACCTACTTGTACAAACAATGCAGCACACGTGGGTGGCCCCTAGCTGCACAGTGCTTCCACAGTGGCAGGCTTCTTCTGGTGATTGATTTGTGATCTGATCTCTACAATGCCTCACTGGATCATCT